AGCAAGGGTGCTAAGGACACCACCAATGCTCTGCCATTGCAGTGGCAGAAAAGTTAGGTTCATATATGCTCAGAGGATCCTAGGAAGATGGTCATTCTTGTGGGGCTGACTTCAGCTTTCTGGGTTTGTATTTATTTGCGTGCTTCTCTGTTTCTTTGTAGTCGGACATGTATCCCTTAGCCTCAGAGTATGTGTATACTATCTTCAGGACAGAAAGAAAAAGTATTTCTTCTTCCGTATCTTGGCAAATCCAGTCTTGGAGTTCCTAAAACACCTCTTGGGACAACCTGCCTTGGGTCATTGAAGTTAACAGTAGCCTTTTGGATTAGGTCCTTTTCAGAGTAAGCAAAAAGCCACAGGCAACAGGAGAGCAGAGAGGAGGAAAAAGTGCTTTAGAGAGGTAATTTAGCTAGCTGAGCACTGATAGCAGTAAAGATGCGGTGGCAAGTAGATTGGGTGTACCTATACATGCTGCAGTCACCCCTTTATCTGCAGAGACCCTCAGAATGGCTCACTTTACACATCTGTAACCTGGGATAATGTGCTGGATGATAACAGGTTTGAGCATTATTTTTAAAAGGTGCCAAATCTTTCAAATGAATTTAGCCATAAGCTGATATAACAATTTCTATTTTTTGTCTCTTCTGATAAATATTTTCAGGGTGGGGAAAAAGTGAATTTTTCAGGGTATGTTTTGGTTTAGCTGGGGTCACCAAAGCCAGTGTTGTCAACTCAACACAGTGAGACAGGCCTCTAGAAATCATGAACCTGCTTTAAAACAGCAATGTTCTAAAAACAAACAATATAGTTAGGTTCTGTTTTCCTTGCTGCCTGCTTTTTGAGCCTTAGGTACCCTGGGGTCATATTTTGAGGTGTTTCTATGCAACTGCAAGAACTATGAACTTTCTTTTTTTATTTTTGAATGCAAGCTGAGATTCTCAATTAGTGACATGATTTCAGGATCTGGAGTTTAAAGGGAAACACCCAATGTTGTGAGATTTGCAATTAAAATAGAGAGATGGCAACACTAGCTCATGTACATGGATCTGGGTTTTCCATTTCCTATGGAAAAATGGGAGAAAATCATGGATTTTCCCTTTTAGACATAGACATTAGAGCTGGAACGGACCTCGGAAGGGACCTGGGGGGCTTGGACAGTAAAGAAGTTCTTCCTTATGTCCAGCCTGAAATGGTCATGGAGGAGGATCGAGGAAAAAAACCACGTGCGCCCCCAACCTCTTTAGCCCCGCTCGCAAATCCCTGTAGCTCCATGACCTGGCTGGGATTGCTCCGAGCCGCGTCATTCGTGCCCACATGGATAAGGAGCGTAGGGTAGTGGTCAGTGGGCTGGAGGAGCTTAGGGATCTTTTCCGTGATCTTCTCTCTCTACCTGAAAAAAAACATGAATTTTTCATTTTAATAGAGAAACACATGGATTTTGTTCTTTTGCAAGGAGCTCTCTGCAGGCTGGCAGAGTTCCAGCCTTCAAGGGGCTGGGGGCAACAGGAGGAGGGCAGTCAGCCAGGGGGTACAGGCAGCCTGGAGAGCAGCTCCCACAGGTAAGTCTAGGGCAGGGGGGAATTGAGGCCCCCCTAAGGAGGGAGGGAGTTGGGCAGGGCTGGAGCTGGGGATGCTGCCCAGCTGGGGAGTGCATGGGGCTGGGGCTGGAATGAGTGGCTGCAGGGCCCTAGTGGGGAGCAGGACAGCGCCATCGTCAGCTCGTCCAGGCAGCGGGGGATGGGAGTGGTTCCTTGCCACTGTGTGCACTCCCGAGGACCAAGGTAACCCATGCCCCCAAAATCTCCCATGGAAATGCAAACAGTTATGGGCAACCAGCCCCCGCCCCCAAGCCTGCAGCAGGCAGCCTGCACCCCCCACCCCCCCATGGGCTCTGCTCTGGCCATACTGCCCATGGGGGAGGGGGAGCCTGGCTCCACACTCCACTCTGCTGCAGCAGCTGGCCCAGCAGGGCCCAGGTAGCTGTGGCTTGGGAGTGAGGGGCCTGGACCAGCATCTTGGTGAGCGAAGGGGGCATGAGAAGCTCTGATTTTCCATGATAAAAACCCCAAAATCAAGTACCAAAATTTTTAGGTATTTATAATTCATTTTATTCTAGTGATTGAGGCATTGGTAGGTTTCTAAATTGCTTTAAAATAGTACATATATCGATAAAACATTGTGTTCAGTTGATACCTATATATATCGTGGTGTTTCATTTTAATTGCAGATTTGGGGTTTTTATCAGAGCATTTGCTATTTTTAATCAGAGAAAACCAGGATCCATGCTCATGTAATACATAGCTCTCTCTCTAAAGTTTCAGGGCTAGATTCTCTGGTTCTATCAAACTTCAGAGGTGACAACAAAGAGAAATTGCGTAAGCTTGCCACTCTGGCAAAAAGACATGGCAGTGTGGCTGCCCAGAGCAGGATTCCAGCTGTGGGAGAGGACAGCAGTGCCAGGTTACTGCCAATACTGCCTCCTTGTCAATCCTGGGAATGTTTCTTCACTGGCTCCTACTGTATGCACCACATCCCAGAAATTAGGCAGTATAGCACAGCGGTGAGCTCACCCCCTGCAAAAGCATCAGGCTCTCTGTCTCAGGTGCACTTTCTGGCACTTGCTTGGGCTGGTCTAAGGCAACTAAGTCACCAGATTTCTGGGCTTTGGTACACAAAACACGAACATGCTGACAGAGCTCTTGGGCTTGGCACAAAGGCAATGAAAGGCAAGCCCTTAGAAACAGAGAGGGAGGATTTTGCATTTGTGCTTTGCTGTTTTCAGCCTCTTGTTTGAGTTGTTTATCAAGAAGACATATTTTGTACCATGAAATATTTTAAAAGGAATACATTTTCTTGTATAAATGCCTTTGTATTTTTTCCTGTCTCAGTGAATTTTTTGGTAAAAAAATGTTTAAAAACTCTTTAAAAGTAAAAAAGCAAGAAAGAAAAGTTAAACAAGAAAACACTTCTCTTCTTGGGAATAATTTATATTATACAGTGCTGATTTCTTCTTGCTACTTGCTGTGTGATGCAAGTATTATGGCAGCTGTAAACTACTTTATAAAGGGGTGGGCAGTCAGGATGACTTTAGTGTAGCTCAATTTTAGGATATGGGATTGCCATAAAGGTTCTAATTAGCACTGTGCAGAAACATTGATGACAAAAATTCAAGGACAGGTGAGTAGTCTCCTGGTGCTGAGTTTCATTCCAAACCTAAAGCTTGGGCCAGGTGTGTTTGAACGTAGATCAAGTTTCAGGTGAGCCTTGGGCTAAGTTTCAAGTGAACCTAATTAGCCTTTACAAACCAGGAGGCAGGGAGGGGGGTTTACTTACCTTTTTGAATCTGATGAAACCAGGAATCTTAAGAAATATAAGGAAGGCGCACAATAGTGAATACAAGAGGGAGTTCACACCAACACCTTTTTCAGTGGTGGTACTCAGTTTATTTTAGAAGGCAGAGACCATAACTTGGTATAGCTTCTCATATGCTCATTTAAGGATGCAGACAGAAGTGAAAATTTTCCCCTGACTGGCCACAGAAAATGGTCTATAGCTGTGACCAAACACAAGTGCACAGTTGCACACCACTTAAAAATGACTCATCAGGCAAAAATCTGACCTCTCATTGCATGAAGGGTCAAATGAAGACATTTTAAAACACAGCATGAACGCCGTATGCCCTCAGAGGCTGTGGGGTGGTGCTGTTGGCGGCAGGAGCATGGTGGCAGCAAGCAGGGAGCTCCTGCAGGCAGCCGCGGCACTGTCGGTGGCGGTGGTGGTGAGCGCCAACCAGCAATTGGCAACCACCCGCAGACGCCGCAACAGTGTAAGTGGTGGGGGTGGCAAGCACTGACCGCCCGCAGGCGTCGTTGGCCTCTTTCTCAGGGGGTGTACCGCTACACTCATGGGGTGCACGTGCGCCCACATGCACCCCTTACACGGTGCCAATGAAACAGAGCATCTTCTGTCTGCATTGCCTGCCAGCCTCGAGTTGCTTTCAGAATGGGAGGGGGAAAAAGGAGTAGAGGGAGTTTTGTCTGGGCTTTTTTCAGCCCCTGCTGGAGGGTAGGGTGGATATATTAGGGCCCCTTGGAGGTGGCAGTGGGGGGGTCTCTAATTCACCCACCCTACACTCCAGCTCCAGACTCCTAGAATGAGCTCCCTGTGCTCCTTTTCCCCCCTCCCATTCTGAAACAGGGACAGGCTGGGAGAGAGGAGAGACCATTGCTAGGGGAAACTGGCTGTCTGTTGGCAGACAGCAGCTAGATTCCCCTCCCCCTGGAACAAACAGTGAATTTCTGTTTGGTTGGGGGGTGGGTGTTGTAACTCAGAACACTTTCTGCGAAGCGCTCTCAGCTACAGGGGGGATCTGCACTTCTGTCTGCATCTTTATTAGGGCCTGACAAGTAACTGGAAGTCCTCTGTTTTCATTGAATACTAAGGGCAGCTAAAGAAACATTGCACCTCACAAGATCAAGTTTATATGCAGGGGATTTTGAAGTATCTGTCAGTGCTGTGTACTGGCAGTGCATCTTGCTGTTCCCATAAACATTGCTACTGCTGTAGCTCTGGAGTCTCCTACCAAAAAGCATTCCTATTCATTATACTCCTGGAGACTCCGGAACTGTTAACCACATGGCTCCACCAGCTGTACTAGGGCATTCTGTAAAATAATAGCTTTAAAAGGTGCCTAGAATTCAGATGAAGGTAAAAAGTGAATGAAAGAGTCTTTGTTTCTGTTGTCTCTGTTCCTCCTCTGATTCTTCCATCTTTATGGAGGGTGGCACTGTGAAGAAGGTCAGTGGAAAACTATCCAATTATGTGTGAAGGGCTGAATCTCAAATAGCATGTGGAACAGCAGTGCCACTGCTGGAAAACATTTGTATTCACGAGGTGGTACACTTTGCAATCAGACTCAAAAAGCAGTGACCTAAGCTAAAGCCATTATTCTGGGAAGGTAAAAAGATTAATATGACAACCCCACCTTTCTCTGTTCACAGGTGTTCCCTTTCCAAAGAACTTCCTTCAGATCTGCAAGAAGATCCTGTGCAGGCTTTTCCGGGTATTCGTTCATGTCTACATTCATCATTTCGACCGCATCATCATTATGGGTGCTGAGGCCCATGTCAATACTTGTTACAAGCACTTTTATTACTTTGTAACAGAGCTCAACCTCATAGACCGCAAGGAGCTTGAACCTTTGGTAAGTAGCTGCCATAACAGTACAATCCAGTGCGGGGGGAAATTCCCACTCTCCTTTCTAACTTTTTCCAAACTTGTCACAGTGGATTCTACTAGGGAAGAAGAGGCCATGTTTGAGGGTAGAGCATTTAAAGAGATTAACTGTCTCGGTAAATAGGCCAGTTCCCTCTGTTGTATGGTTCAAAAGAAGAAAGTAGAAAGAATAGAATTCAAAGCATTTTAGATGGAAAAATACAGGGTGGGAAACACTGACGCTAAAAATAGCAGCCTATTTTTCTTCTGCTCATTTCTGTAATATGTATATATTACTAAATAATTAGTATTTTTACTAGTTTCTTTTTTCTACTGCTGATTAGCAGCAGCATTGTACCCAGAGGAAGAAGCATTCTGTCTAATTGGAGTGACTTAAATCCAAGCCTACCATCATCTTCTTTTTAATAATTAAAAACTGAGTGTCCTAGATCCAGACTTCTCTTTCACTGAGACAGAAGTTCAGACAGCTCACAGCACAACAATACCAGATATTTCCCCTGGCCAAGGTTCCTGGGTACTACAGAGATCAAAGCTTCAAAAATGGAAACATTTTTGCCATTGCCTGCAAATGCAACTAAAAAAAGATTTTATAAAAGCAACCAAGTTTTGGCAGGGAAAAGACAGTTCAGAAAGTGGTTCTCCATGCAAACTTTAGCAGTGGGCACCTTGCCAGTTTGAGAATGGATCAGGGCTACATTTTATGCACAAGTCACAACTTGGAAAACTCTGTATCCAGTAAGTTTCTGATTAAGTGTTAGTTAGCATTATTCAGACCTTTTTTCTTTAAGTTGCAATATAGAATGGTTAAATATACATTACATGAAGTGAACTGTACAAATAACTTGAAATGAAATATGTCTCTGCATAAATAAATAGTAGATGCTTGCATTTGTGTGTGTGCATGTGCAGAAATTAGAAGCCACTGGGGGTGAACAAGACTTGTGGGCGGGTGAGAGCAGGAAATGCTTTTGGAGCAGGAAATGCAGAAGGAAGGAAAGCAGAAAGTGTTTTGCAGGAGATCAAAGGAAGAAACAACCATGTAAGAAAGTCCTTTTAGAGGTATTAATTAATAATCTACAGCATCCCTGCAATTTTACAGATAGGTAAACCGAACTGGCAGGACAAAGTGGCCTTAAGAGGTAGGAAATAGTCCTTAGGCAATGCCTCCACAGAACAGCCCTTCCCTGCCACTCACAAGAACTTAGAGCAGCTCTCCCCCTACCCCTATCCCAGTACCCAGCATTGCAGATGTGTTAGAGCCAAGATGTGTGGGAGGTAAGACCAGAGGCAGGGAAGGAAAACGCTTGGATCACTCGTTGCTCTGCAGAGCATAAGTTCGAGCATCACTGAGGCCCTTGCTGATCTCAGCATTACTGAGAGAGCAGAAATGGCTTAAAGCCATTTTCAGCTGTTAACTCCTTGACCCCTGCACTCTGCCTACAGGCAGAGCAGTTCAGGGCCACAGTGATGCAGGCGTGAGCCCAGGTACACAGAGTGAGTCTGGTATAAATCCAGGAACATAATCCAGCTGGTGGCATGAAGTCCTCTGGAGACTCAGTTTAGAAGCCTGATGAGACTCAGTAGCACAGAGGGAGTTATTCTATCCCTAACTTGCATTGGGAAAAGCTGTGACAGCAGGCTGATGGAACCTCACCTGCTTTCACCGCCCAGAACCCAATTCGCAGCTGTCAGCCAAGACCAGGAACATGGAAATGCATAAAAACATGCGTCTTCTTTTTTATCTTGTGCTGGTCAGAGAGGAGGGAACTGATTGCCATGTGAACAGAGATGTGGCAAATCATCTCAAATGTTAATGCAACAGCCAAGGGTGACCTGTGCCCAACCAAGTTCACCATTGCAGGAAATGAGCCCAAATGATCTCACTAATTAAAAACTGGGCTAAGCTCTGATTAAATAAAGACTCCCTGCACTTCCTGAACCGGAAGTCTATTGATGAATCAAAGTATATTTGAGTAAGGGAAATCATTCAGAATGCTGGTATTGGATTTATAATAATACTCCTGATACATAGCAGCCTGGAGGCAGGACTTAGGTAATTTAAGGTGAAGTTTATCATTTTAAAATCTGGTGCAGCAATTACAAAAATTAAGGAGCAAATTAGGGTAAGGCAGAGAGTCTTTCCTTTAGGGAGTCACAGGATTTCCTCTTTGAATCCAAGTCTGAGGCTGCATTTATAAACCCTGATTATCCTGCCACATTTCCCAGGCCTGATTATTTTGACAAGAGTCCTTTGTGGAGCAGGTTTATAAGGCAGAAGAGAAAGATGGCTCACTTGTTCAAGCTGTGGGCCAATCCAAGAAGAAATATAAGGACCTGCAGTTAAATTGTAAGGGAAGTTTTTGGAAACTTGTTTTGCAGGTAATATGTAGACAATATAACACTCAGAAGGCTCTTAGGACACATTTGAATGGGGAAGCTCGTGAAATAAGTGAAGGTATGAATTGTAAATTCAATTCTGTTTTGTAGCTATTCTGTCCTCACTCCCTATGGGGATACTCCAACTCCCCACTGAGTGTGCTTTAGCTTAATCTAGGGATGTCAAACACATTTGGCCCAGTGGGCTGAATGAGTGGCATGTGTGCTGGTTCCAGTGAGCAGGGCTGGTCCAGTGTGGGCACCATAAATGCCCCAGACCAGCTGTACACACCAGAACCAGCTCCCTGCACTGTGTGCAGTGCGCCTCAGCCCTGGCCCTGTACCACATGCAGCACGTAGGTCCAGTCTGAGACCCACAGGCAACAGCATAGCAGGCCACATGATAGTGCTGTATCTTTGACACCTTTGCCTTAATCCAATTCCAAACTAAGCTTTAAAAGCCCTAGGACAAGAAATGAATGTGGGATAACTATTCCAGGCTATCTGCAGACAAGCTCTTAGTTATGGTACTGTAAATACTTTAGAATTTTAATTTGATTCTGGATGGAAATGTTAACAGAGCTCCAGAGAGATTGTAATTTATTAACAAAAAGGCTTAATCCTTGTCTTCAGTGTAACTAATGCTGTTAGTAGTAGATATTGCCCAATAACAATTTAGCACTTTACATCTCTAAAGCAACATAAAAATGCTAATTGATTCATTTACAGCCTCCTGGTTAAAGCCTGGTCTTGGAGCTGGCTGACCTGCATTCTACTACTAGTTCTGCTACAGATAGCTTTTTATGGCATGGAGCAAGCCCATTAAAGAGCACTGGGCATGGTTTTTCCCATCTAGAAAGGGGATGTGATCATACTTACTAGCTTTACAGAGGGGTTATGAAGCTAAATACTAAGCATTAATGTTTATAAAACATGTGGGGATCCTCAAATAGTAGGTATTACAAAAGTGCAAGTATCTTTTATCATTTTTGTTGTTGTAGCCCCTCCTTTTCTATAGTGATCTAGAAACTGACACTGCATTTAGAGTAGCCTTCAGTCTCAGGTTAGATCTGTCAGTAGTGTAAAATTGATGTTGTAGCTGTGATGGTCCAGAAATTATGCAAGAGGCAAGGATTTTTTAGGCTGATATATTTTATTTGTAGTTGGGATAAAGACAAACTTTCAAATACAATACCTGTTAGATTTGTCAACATTCAAACAATACAGAAGTACACACACACAAAACAACAACCTTGTGGCCCTTTTTGATGAGGCCTTTGCTTGTAGCTAGTTTGGGTGCACATCAGTATCAAATGGAAACATGCATATATAATATAACAGCTCACAACATTAGAGAAGGCCACTTTAAATTACCATTTGAGGACCAATATCTTTTTGAGGGCCAAAGCTGCAGACCTCCAGTTTTTTGACCCCTATGGACGTTGGGTATGTTCAGATCCAGTTTTGAGCCTTGTGTTGCATTGTGAATTCATCATCTTCATGTTAGACCATTTGCAAACCATGTATCCCATCTCCATTTGTAAAAGGTCTGTCATGAAAAGTTGCTGTGTCACTTGGCAACTGTTTTTTAGTTTTATCTGGGCATCTCATCCATCTACCTTGTTTAAGGCCTACAAGCTGTTTCATGTGAGGCCATATAAACCTGGCCAAATAGTTTGTTACAACTTTGGTTAGCATATTTGTCACAAATCTGATTTTCCCACAGCATGTGTGTGAAATGACTCTCTTCTCTTTTGAGGAAATGTTCTCAAAGCTTCCCCTTGGCTGCAGCCATTAGAGAGGGTTCACCAGCATGGACTAATTTTCAGCTTTTACAATGTGTTCTGTAAAAGGGCAGACTTTTTGAAAGCAGCCTAAGGATACAGTTATAAGCAGTCCTTTGGGCCACAGCATTAGCTAAGTACCTGAGCCTTGGGGGAATCCAGATCAGCAGTCAAGTCTACACCAAAGGGATCAAAACCAATAGTCAGAGTTACATTCCTAATTCAAAATTATGTCCACTTTTCTAGTCCAAGCCAAGCCAAAGGTTCAAGGAGTCCAGATATACCACAGGAGTCCAGATATACCACAAGATAATCAGGGGTAAGGTACTGGGATCGAGGGCTGGAGTAACATAGGAGCAGGGGTGAGGCAAGCTGCAAGCTGAGCTGCTATAGGGTGCGAGTCATTACACAGCCAGAGCATGTCCAGACTAGCGCAGATGTGTGGTATGTGGCACCTCAGACCCATCTTTAGCAACACCCACTGCACATGCAGGTGTTGCCCATGCTGCTACCTTGCAGCACGGGGGAATGGGGGGAGGGGAAGGGTTTAACCGCAGGAGATCCCAGAATCAAAAAACCCCATGCCAAAAAAAGCAGGGCGGCACATGTAGCGGTAGCATGCGCCACCTAAAACTGGAGCCTGGCCAGCTGGAGCCACACTCCAGCTGCCAGCCAGGTTCCCTGCTGCAGGAGCACCTTGACTGCGGCTCTCTGAGACTCCCACAACCCCAGGTAAGGCTGCTGGGGCCAGCACAGTTAATGGTCCCAGCTTCCTCTACCCCACCTGGGGTAACCTGCCACACAGCCA